ACCTTTTTCATTTGTAATGTAACCATATCATATAAAAGTAAGTAATGTATTATGTAGGAAATGAAACAGTTGCATTTGGATCTCAATCGAGTATATTTGTTTATTCAAACAAACCAAAGTTTCGGGCTCTTTATAGGTCTAATGATCATGGCTGTTAGTCAGCTAAAGTAAAAATGATTTGAAAGCCTTCAAGGCAAAAGAAGCTGATTTTTATGTTGATGCATCGATATTTATTTTGAGACGATATTTCCGACGAAGTACGTAAGTAAGCATAATTATAGATTATCTCGTTCCTGTACGACAATTATAGAGATTATATCGCTGTTACAAGTGAGGTCATTCTTTGTTTTGTGGCGCAATAATTTCACTCAATATTGGTGATGAACTCTCTATTAACCAAGTTAAGTACCTATTTATGCATATGACACAAGTTCTCAAATTCACGAATGTCAAAAGGTAAGAAAATACGAACCCGTTAAAATTCGGTTCGATTTAATGCATAACAATTATACCTATTATTGATAACATAAGTATGGAAATCGATTTGCAGCATAAAAATTGAGAGCAAAGTCTAATAAAAAAAATCTAATAAAACGGGATGGATTGGTCACAATGACATAGTACATACGAGTGCGGCGTAGGCATCATACATACACATTTACAGCAGTTGATATTTATTTAAATACCGTATTATTGTAGCTAAATTCCTAAAGGGACCAGTAGCATGACAGTATATGTGTTTTAAATCTCCCCGTGACAATATTTATTTCAGTTGATAAAGCTAAGTTTGCTTATTTGGTAATGAACTATGTTATACATTTTGAAGAACAAAGATAACGATATAAATTATGTATATAGCTATCTTTGACGTTTAATCATCGCCGCCAAGTTTCTGTTTTTACATACTATACATTAGATTAGTTACTATTTACGTTCTAATTACTCTCAGGTATTGAACTCTATTAAAAACGATTCTCGTCACCTTTTTTCAATAATTATGTATATCAGTTTCGTTTATCGCTCTCAATTTTTACATTGATAAAATTACTGTGGACAACTGACGAAATATGAAGTAGGGAGGCGAACTATTACGAAATTGCAATGTGTGGAGAATATTAAGCGACGAGCAAGTGGAAAGCAATTAACGGCTTACGACAAGCATAATAGAAAATCTTTTTACGGAGGTTATTACTCCCTTCGCCAAAAAATTCGAGGGTTTCTTACCTTATTACCAAGGTAACTAATTTCTTGAATGTATTAATTTCTATTGAAAGAAAGTTATTACGTAAATATTGAAAGCACGCATTTCTTAGTGCCCTATATCAATGATTGTAATGAGTGAGTGAAGGCTTGATTTTGTGGCGGCTTTTATTACCGACTGGCTGTGGCAGTCTCTTTGGATGAGAGTCGCCAAGGAGAGTGTCATACTTGCCGTAAATGTTTGACAGTTTTTATTTACGTATATTGTCATGTCAGTGATTGCAAATTGTTTGCCCGGGTTTGATAAAGATTTTGTAAAAACCACGAAACATAATAATTATATCGCCATTCACGAAGTTCACGAGGCCGTTTTATTGTTCGTTAGGGGAGCGATAAATTTCCCAAATTGGTGACCCCGACGTGATTGTCTCGGCGGCCTCGAACATTTGCGTGAAAAGTCCGACGATTTTGATTTTACATTTCTCAAGAAATAAATGTTTACAAAAATTTCAATATACAACGAAGAAGATGAAATAATACAAATTGAAGGCCTCATACTCCTTTCTAACGCTCGCTGGAGTTTCCATGGAGGATCGGCTCCGTCATTTGGGTAACTGCGACTTGTGAGCAGTTACGTGCGATCGTGCGTTCTACGTCATCTACCAGTGGTCGCGACGGGTCACGCGCCTGTCGACCGTTTGGATTTTGTATTTATTGTAATAATAATAAATAACTCACACACTCAACATAGCCCCTAGCCCCGCACTAGGGAAACCCTGTGTCGCGGGTGCCATGGACACACACATAGACAACCACAAATTACACCCAAACTCACGAGAGAAATAATTGTAGGTCATACAACTATTTCTCCCAGCCCAGGAATCGAACCTGGGACCTCTGCGTGGCAGTCCGGCATGGTAACCGTTCGGCTACGGAGGCAGTTAATAATTGTATTTTATAACATTTTTTTTCCGACTTGACTTCTTGCCGGTAAGTGTTTTTATTTAATATTTTATTACCCGTACCGAGGTGTGGTTGTCATGTATGAATTGAAGGCACAACTTGAGAAGCTCGCGGCTCAAAACGAGTCACTATTCCGACAAAACATACAGCTCAAAGCTAGACTAGCGGATGAACTTCACTCTGCGGGGGGTGGTGTGGCGGCTTTAGACGCCGCCTATTATCACCGGCTGGCTGTGGCAGTCTCTGTGGATGAGAGTCGCCAAGGAGAGTGTCACACTTGCCGTAAATGTTTGACAGTTTTTATTTACGTAAATTGTCATGTCAGCGATTGCAAATTGTTTGCCCGGGTTTGATAAAGATTTATAAAAACCACGAAACCTAATAATTATATCGCCATTCACGAAGTTCATGAGGCCGTTTAATTGTTCGTTAGGGGAGCAACAAATTCCCCAAAATTTAAAATAGATTGCAGAAATCAGATTACTCCATTTTATAAACATAATTATTTTAATTATTAATACAAACCTCGAAAACTCAGAAAAAAATTCCTTTGATCTGGTCGGATTCGAACCGACGTCTTCTTGCATACCGTGTCAGACGCTATACGTGGACTTCACGAAAAATTCGTGAGGTCCATTGGTTCGTTCCGTGGCTTAGTTGGTATAGCGTCTGGCACAGTATGCAAGAAGACGTTGGTTCGAATCCGACCAGATCTAAGGAATTTTTTCTGAGTGTTCGAGCTTTGTATTAATAATTATAACAAACTAGTGGAATAATTTCACAAAAAATAATTGAATATCAATTCAATAAAAATTTAATTAATAATTATTTTATTTCAGGAGATTCGGGTTACCCGTAGCGGGACTACATGATGAGCCCAGTAGAAATTCACCCGAAGCGAGATATAACAAAATCCATAAAAAAACACGTTCCATCATAGTGTGTACTGTCGGCCTATTGAAATTGATTGAGTTGTCTTTTACCCGTAAGGGAACTCCAGAAACATAGTCAAATAGTCATAGTCAATGTCAAAGAAAAAATGACTATTACTTTCACAGGTTAATCTAGTAGTGAACTTAACAATGAACTTAAAAATAACCACAGCTTTCACATATTACTTTAGTAGTTGAAAAGTTTACATTTATGATCATGTTAATGAACCTTCTAAAATACCAGGTCAATTGTACCTGTAAAAGATATCTTGTCGATGGACAATTTCTTTAAATAAGTTACTTTTACTTTTGAATATTATGTGCAATTAAAATTGATTATTAGTCTAGTAAAATAGCTAGAACGTAATTAGTTAGAAGATTTTGTTTTGCTTCATAACAAATAAATAAAAAATATTATCGGAGAAATAAAGTCTGCAAGAGAACTGAGCAGAGATCGAACAAGACATGGTGCGATGGTAAATTTATTTGTCTTTCAATTGTACTTTGTAAAGTTTATTTTTTAACCGCTCACGCGATGCACTACCCCCACCTACACGGCCCTTAAAGGATAGGATAAACCTACCGCAAAATGGCGGCTATCTGGTTTCGCAAATTAGAAAAGCATCAGTTTAAATACAACTTTTTATGAATAAAAATTATTATTCTGCATTGCTAAATAAATACCCTCTGTACTACCAACAAAAACATCTCAAATAAAATGCAGTAATACATCGCAAATCCACTAATGCGATTGTCATGACGTATTTTTGAAGTTGTTTATTTTTTTAAATGACAGACCCAGGCACTAAAAACTTTGTGGTTTGCTAGAGTAGTTACCGAAATAGCAATTAATATTAGTTCTTTTACCTGTTATAACTTCGATATCCGATAAATCGGTATAAAATCATCACCTCTAGGTGTGGTATGCTTCCAGAGACGCATGAATCGCGCAACGCTCTGTGGCGGCATGCGTCTACGGCTGCATGTATCGCGTTAGCGGTTAATTAATTTTCTTTGTGAGAGATAAGTTTAAGGAAATTAACATTCTTACACTAGCCTCACAATACATTTATGAAAATATAATTTATGTTAAAAGGAATAGTAATTTCTTTATGAAAAATAGTGACAGACATAACATTAATACGAAGAATAAAAATAATCTAGCTTTTCTTAATAGTCGTCTTCACAAAGTCAAACAATCATTTAAGGGGCAATGTATACGCTTCTATAACAAGATTCCGGTTGATATACAAAATTTGCCTTTCACGAGGTTTAAAACTATAGTGAAACAAAAACTTTATACTAAAGGTTATTATACAACTTCTGCGTACTTGGATGACAAAAATCCGTGGTAGTAACCCGTTTAGCTCATGGAGGTAGTCTCAATCTGATGTTTCAAATAAAAAAATAACAACCAACCCCTAGAGTTTCTTGCTCATTCTTCTCAGGGGAATCTGCCTTACGAATGAGCGGTAGAGTTTAACCATTGTGACGATTTCAAGTGTAATAATGCTTACCTATGAAATAAAGATTATTTTGAATTTGAATTTGAATTTTGTCAGCGTTAAAATTTTTTTTAATCAATAGCGATATTGCTTCATTTAAACAATTTATATTTTTGTAGTAATCTTTGGACAATGTGGTTGATTGTACAATTAGCAGTATGGTCATTTTTAGTACGTATGACTTACCTAGTTTACCACGAAAGCTTTTAAAATTATTTTACTAAGTAATAAGTTTTCGTTATTTCTTAAACTTGTAAAGATATAAAAAATGCTTCGTGTCATAAAGTTTTTGTGAAAAAATAATAAATAAAACAAGATTGGTTTAATCGTTGCAACTTTGTATTTAAAGCGAAATGACAAATAAATATTGTGTTTTATAACAACGGCAATGTTTTTGAAAACGGTTCATCCAAAAGTGGACAGAGAGTTTGTATGCTTTAATTTGTGATCTCACGTATGTACATATTGAAAATGAAATGTTGACATGAATGTATAGTGAGCTTTTTTACTCGTATGTTATAATTTTATTGTGCGTGCTGCGCACATACACGTGCACTAAATTCATGAATCAGGAGGCAAACATATTAGCTGTTATTCCAAATCTACATACAGTATTGATTAGGGCTCAACGGTCTAATAAACGACGTACGGGAACGGGAAGTTACTCCTTGGGAACGGGAAGTTGCTTTCTGGAAACGGGAAGTTACTCCTTGGGAACGGGAAGTTGTTGTCTGGAAACGGGAAGTTACTCCTTGGGAACGGAAAAGGGAAGTTCGAGTTTGGTGATGGTGACGGAAGAGCGTTGATAACAACCTGTAAACAAAGCAAAAATTAGTATTCCGTATCCTCGTTTATAAAAATAATAGTTTTAAAGTACAAGTTTGATAACCTTCGTAGATCATAACGGAAATACGTCCGTTTTGTATTATAAGTATGCTCACAATGTATATGTCATTTTGCGTGGCGATACTGTAGATGCTGCCAAGTAAAAGTATCGACGGCTGTTCTGTTACTCTATGACACAAATTGTTTGAGCTAATGAGGGTCTCACCCCTCAACTAGTTTTATCTACAGTTACATCCCTAGTATAAAACGAATATACAGTGCAAAATTCAAGTTACATATTATAATTGTTTGTTTGCGTGTTTTATTGCGTCAGGTATGTTTGCCGACGCAAGTGTAGATGATTTTTACGCTCTGATGCGAAAAAAAGTGGCATCCTGTTTACGCAGAGTGAGAGAGAGCTCAAACATAGTTCTCAAGGCGATAGGTGAGAGGTTGGATTCTAATCTGCTCGCTAGGTTCACCGAGCTACATGTCCAGGGAGCGCGGTGATCTTGGCGGGTATGTTGGATAGACTGACCGGGCATTTTTATTTTATTTTTATTTTATTTTATTTTGTAATTTTTGTACTAACAATAGAATAAGATCAATCCTTTGTACTAACAAACTGGACTGTATATTGTCTGAAATAAATGATTTTTATTTTTTTTTATTTTTATTTTATTATTTATTATAATATTTTTAAACAAATGACAGAATACGTCTAGTTACGTTTATTAAAAAAAAGTAAATCTAAATTACTTACGCAAGCGACGACACCAACGAAGAATATCAACTGAACACGTTGAAGAGTTTTGATCTGCCCCATGGTTGCTGAATAGTGTATTCGATCAATCATCGTGCGTCAATTTATACTCTTACAGTAACTGACTGTGAGCAATCGATCCCGTTATGCCAACAGAAACAAATAACTCAATCAAATACGACAACACAAAAATAAGAATATGTATTAAATCTCTTATCTGGAATTGATTTTTATATAGTGGAAAGTAACTATTGTGGATGCGACGTCTTGGTGAAATTGAATATTTCCTAATGTCCTGTATAGACCTGAGAATATTACACTCAAAGATATATCATTATCCCCTATGTCATAGACATACAATATACCATTACATACGATTGGTCCTTGCTGCCTTAAAATTAGCCTTTTATTCTATATACTATATATACATATATTATATATACATATAGACTAATATATATATATATATATATATATATATATATATATTAGTCTCTGCGTATGTGGAAAGGCCATAACACGAGGCCAAATGTAAGTGACAACTGTTGTATTTCAGTTTTAAGTTTCGGTTGTTTGTATTTTATAAAAAAAAACGTAACTTATGTTAGATTTGGTCATCGAGTATATATGCAGAAATAGAGAAGAAATAAGCGCCATCCGTCTCTGGCATCTCATCAGGCAAATGGACCTTATATTACTTTTAAATATCAACTCTCGTTTGCACTGAAATCACAAATCAGAAAGCTGAAATAGTATAGCATCTACAACTGACCTGTGTGTACGTGTCCGTATATTCCAAAAATATTTATTGTAATAAAGGCAATATCTCTAACTATGGGGGGTTCGGTGGTGTGGGAAAAACAGCAAAACATCTAACTACAAACAGACGGCATCACATTTCATCGGTAATTAAATAAGTAATTTTTCAAGTTTTGTCCATTATAGCAAAGCTTAAGTTAAACTGGTCGATTTGAAGTGTAACAATTGACGACACCCGTCAATTGTTTCGAATTCGTGCTGACCAATCGGAGCGCAGTTGTCATCGTAATGATTTTGCAGGATAGTTTTCTAACTGACATTTCATCTCTATTTCTGGTTATATACTCGACGGATTTGGTACATCAGTATTATAACATCTCTGTCATACCTTTTTAATTTATAATGTAACCATATCATATAAAAGTAAATCATGTATTGTATAGCAAATGAAACGGTTTTTTTTTGGATCTCAATCGAGTTATTTATTTTGATACAATGTTTCCGACGAAGTACTGAAGCATAATTAAAGAATAGCTGGTTCCTGTATACCAATTACAGAGATCATAGCGCTGTTAAAAGTGGGGTCGTTCTTTGTTTTGTGGCGCATATATTCACAAAATATTGATGATAAACTCTCTGTTAGGCAAGTTAAGTAACTATTTATGATATGACACAAGTTGTCAAATTCACTAATGACACTAAGGTAAGAAAACACGAACCCGAAGAATTGTACCTACTATTGACAACAAAAAAAAATTAAAAAATTGAGAATAAAGTCTAATATCCAAATTTGTTAGCATGTTACATTTAATAAACCAATTTTCTAGCTTTAGTTGAACGGGATGGATTGGTCACAATGACATAATACGAGTATAAGTACTGCGTAGGCATCATACGTACACACTTACAGCAGTTGACATGTTTCGTTACATTTGTCACTCGTGTGCATTTCTATCCCACATGTTATTGTTACTAAATTCCTAATGAGACCAGACTCGTAGCATGCCGCGATAAAACGATTATAATATCTACATTTAACTGTGTAATTCAAGTGTTAAAACCGCCTTTTTTAAATTTAATCACCATGTAGCCATGGAGCCACACCGCGCGTCTCGCGACCAACGGCCGCGTAAGAATATCACAGTGCCAAACATGGCTGCAAGGTCAAAGTTAATTTTAAAACATTTTGACAATTTTGCATGGTAATTTTATCAACGTAAAAATTGAACGCGACAAACGAGATAAAAGGAAATAATGAAAAGAAAGAGGCTGTTATATACATATATTAATGATTAAAAAATGGTGATATAAACATTCTTAATACAGTTCTATACATGAGAGTAATTTGAAATACGTGAATAATAACTAGTGTTATCTAAAATAGTCTACTGCCTATATCTGTGAAATAAGCCGAGGTGGATTTTCTTTTTGTGACTTTTGCAAATTTTTAAAGCCTTTGAAAGTTTTCCGTCGTCTTTTATTATTTATTTATAGAGCACTGACTGAAACGCAAAACGTAATAATATTTAAACGAAATAATAAATTAGTGTACAAACTGTAACTACAAAAACCGCCATTTTTTGTTTCGTCGTTTGACAATGATGCAATTAAAAGGATTACAGTTATCGCGACGATGATTAAACGACAAAGATAGCTATTCGCAATTTTATATCGTCATCCTTGTTCTTCAAAACGTATAACAGTAGTTCATTCTCAAATAAACAAAAAACGAATGATGCTAGTGCGGTACCTTACCGATTCAGTATTCGCAATAAAAAAGAAATTTTTAATAATGGCAACAATAGCTTTATACTGAAATAAATATGCCACGGGGAGGTTTATCACGTGTCGCATGCGATATACAGTATTAGCATGGCGTACGTGGCGGTATACGTTAGCAGAAACCTAACCAAATTAAAGGGTCGTAGCTACTTTATGAGTAGATATACTGTCACGTCGATTGAGTGCGTCCGGTCTGCATCAAGTGCAAAGGGCAACTGATACAATCTCGACAATATTAAGAAAATAGCTGTCCCTTATAACATTAGTCGCTAAATTTTAAAAGGGTTCATAAACAATTAAGTTATCCAGGCAGTTCAAGTGATTGGTGATTACAAAATACGAAAACCTTCGAGTAAAAACCGCTAGATCGGTATATTTAAGCTACTGGCACTGTTTGATGACACATGGCGTTTAACTTTGGGGGAATATCGCGGACAATAATAGAATCTTTACCCTGCAAAAGCATGCTAATAGGGTAATTCACAAACTGGGTCCCAGAGTGTCTCTGAGAGATAAGTTTATAGACGTTGCCATTCTTACACTTGCGTTCCAGTAAATTAATATAAAAAAATATAATTTATATTAAAAAGTAAATTTTATCGTAGGTAATAGATGTAATATTAATCCGGTGTTAGGATGGGGGGAAATTGTTAAACCGGCAGTCGTCAGGTTGAGTCAAGATAACCGCCATATTTAAAATGCCTACTTTAAAAAAATGTATAGAAAATCGATATACAAGCTTCATTATTGAATGAAACGAATATTTTTGAAGGCATTTTTGTGAACATTTATCGAAAGTTAAATTTTTATTGGGACGTTTAAGAATAGAGAAAAAATTTAAATATTATGAAACCGCTATCTCAATATCTTCTTAAATTATGTAATTTTATAAAATGTAACCTTATAACACAACGTAGAACCAAACAAATAAGTGCCAACGACCACCTATTTAGTTCGAACTCATACCGCTAGATAGCGTTGGGATCGAGTTAAAACACGCTATCAAAATGTTCACAGCAAATAATGACATAGAACGTGGAATTTTGTATAAGTGTCGCCCGATCATGACGTATGACAGCGCCGCATTCGCTCAGCCAATCCCGCGCTCAAACATCGCCTGCAGGCTCCAAAATAGATTCATGCGCAACGCCAGAGAACAAAAAAGTAATAAGAACGGATACTCTCCGCCCCTCCCTGACTTTAGATACCGCGCCACGACCCGTATATTGACAGAACGGCGACAAGGCTGTCGGCGGGCCGTTTTCGCGCTAAGACGACTTTCTTAATTGAATATAGTTTTCATTTATTCATTACGAAACTTGTACGTTAATCATAACATCATAGTACGTTACTATTTATAATGATCGTGTGTTGTGCTATGTACGGCTGTTTATCATGATCTAAACGGGATAAATAGGGGAGTCTTTTCGTTTTCCGAAAGATGAAAAGAAGTAGGTAAGTAAAAAAAACGTATGTCCAAGTGTCATTCAGTTATTGCTTTCTTCGTTTATTTAGTGCAGAGTAATATATAATACAGATTTATTATATCAATATAATGAAACGCCATGATTTCGTGAGCTAGTAGACAAGGATTCCTAAATTTTCAATTTGCATTGCCGATAAATATTACATAGTGAATAAATATATCCAATTATTAAATAGGTAATGATAAACTTGGACACGCAATTTCAAATACCTTGATTACCTTTTTACCTGTCCAAAATATACATTTTCAAATCTTCAATACTATTCTAGTTAGTGAATTAATAAAAAATATAATATTATATCGATGTAAATACCTAACGAACATGTGCAATTATTAGGATTCTATTAATATAATTATGAATAAAAGGTTCGCGTTAGAATTTTCGCCATGTTGCCGCTCTGACCGTGTAACGTAATAGTACGAGAAAGTGATGATGAGTAACCCTGCCATTAAACGCACACATTTGCGCGTGTGCAGATATCGCCTTGCTGTATGCAGTAGTAGTAGGCAAATAACTTTCGACCGTTATATAGTGTGTCCGGGGTGTGGCAACGCGACGGGTGTCCCGTGATACCTGCGCAACGCTAACCTCCATATAGTTTTACGGCTCCCCACAATCGCCCAATTCACGAAACAGGCATCGAGGAAATACTTCGACTCTGCTCCTCACCACCCCTACCTCCTCGTGGTGACTGCATCCAACTACGACCCCCTCAGGGAATACGTAGGACCCGTCGGCCAAGGGAAGTCCTCAACGACCTTGACGACCCTATCACTCTCGCCACTTTGAAGGCCAACCAGATCGCCCATCAGTCCTCCATCTCTACACGCACCAACCGTCCTCACTGGCGAGGACAAAGAGCCCCTCATTTCAGCACTTACACTGGTAGATTCTCTCCTTTAGCACGCCCTTCTGGCGGAAATCGTCAGTAGCGCCCTGAGCCGAGGTCCGTGCCCACTTGAGCGCCCTCAGGGCCACTACTAAGTTTATTTTACGGGTTATGAGCCTTCAGCTCGCCATTTCATCCGGTGGCGCAGCCAATGCCACCAGTGGCCACCTGCA